TTCTTCTGTGACTGACTTAAGCAAAGGTTACAGGTAGGAGGTCTTCTAAGCAGTTCCTTGGGCAGCTCCAAGAGCCCCCAGACAGAAATCTTTCTCAAAGCTCACCCAAAACGGACCGAAGTCTGGGCATCAGGCATTTTGAATGGAAACTCTTCTGATCTGATGTCTTGAGTTTTGAAACTGATGCTGCACATTGTCATGAATTCAACTGCTTCCAAAGGGAAGGGGAACCCAGAAGATGGCACGTACCAACAGTACATCTTTGCTGCTCAGCCCTGTGCTTACATCTGCTCTGGGTCCCTGGGTATAGGGGAGACAATAGGACAAGGCAGGAGGAATTCAGCAAAGAGACTCCTGAGCTGTGTTTCTGTTTTGGCAGTTGCTCGTACCTTCTTGCAGCTGGGACAAAGAGTTTGGGTTTACTTTTTTTGGGCTTTTAGTTAGATTCCATGGTTTTATAGGAGGCAGCAAGTTGGCATCACTACAAAGGTGTATAATGCAAACTCAGCTCTGCAGCTGGGCTGATGTGAACTTGTGGAAGGACGTAGCACCCAGACCCATAAAATGTGACAAGGATTGTAAAAGACTGAGGCTGCCCTTGGGCTTGGCTGAGCTCCCAAGGGAGTGGGATCATGGGCAGAAAGCAGCCTGGGACCTTGGGGTGTCCCTGAGGGTTGTTTGGCCCCTTCCAGTGTGAGATGGTGAGCTCCCCAATGCTTCTCACCTGCCAGAGCTCTCACATCCATCCCAGCTTGCACCAAAAGCCTGTGACAACACAGCCAAGCTTTTTGACACTGCTGCAGTTTGAGGTCTGAGCTACCCCCTTGATCCCATTCCCAGGATCCCTAATGCAGCTCTGACCTGGATTTCTCCTTCAGCCCAGAGCAGCCAGCTCAGAGACAGCTCTGTGCATCGCAGCCCTGCAGGTGCTCAGGAACCTGCCCCCTGGTCTCAGAGGTGCCCATATCTCGTCTTCTCCCTCTACATGTTGCTTTGACCTCCTGTGCCCTCATCTTCCAGCTGGGTTTTGTTCCTCATGAAAGGGCAGTCGCTGGAGGAAAACACAAAGACTCCCTCCCTGATGATCATTTCATTTGCCATTAACTGAGGGTTTAGAGAAATCTCAGGGCTCATTAAGGCTCCAGTGGCAGCTGAAAATTCTCCCTCCGGATCCCAACACCCAGCCCCTTCCTCCCTCTGCAATCCGGGTGGCAGGTTCAGACCCGAGCACTGCAGAGAGCTCTGGAAAGCACAACCAGTATGAGGGGCTGTCAGGTTTACGCAGACCTTGCCCAGCTCCTCCTTTCACGGGGTGCTCTGTAGGACCCTTGATAGTTACGTGCAGAGCAGACACCCCTGTCCCTGCCTGCCCCTGTCCTGCTACCGCCCCACTGTCCCCTCGGAGCCGAACGCAAACGCTGTCACCATCGCCTGGGGTGTCCCTGGGTGCCCGACCCACCGCGCCGGGCGGAACCACCGGTCTCTGTGCTTCCCGCGATCTGGCGCTGCCCGGGGCGCCGCCTCATCGCTCCCAGCAGGGGGACGCGGAGGTTTTAGGACCAATTATCGAAACCCCGAAGCTCGCTGTGAATTAGCGGCAGTGAGACCCTTCGCCCGGTAAAGCACCCGGCCCCGCAGCGAAGGCACGCGCTCCGCTGCCCGTTCTCCCGGCCGAACTCTCAGCAGCCCGTCCCTTTCCCTCCAGGCACCCGGGAGCGACCAGGCCGCGGGAACCACC